TCCCGCACAGAGCTTCTCAGACTCCTCTTTTGACATGTCACTGACTGTCTGTGTCTTCTGTCCTAACCTTCAGGAATGGTTGCACTGGGAACTTTAACACCCACTCTCGTTCTGAAGAAAGTGACGTACGCATGCTCTCGAACACAATGGTTTGACTGTTCACCATAAAATCTTCTTTTTTTTATATTTTAAATGTAATTATTGTCAGTACCTGTGTTTATCCTAGTGTAGTGTCAACAAGCTGAGAGTGAGGAGATACAGAGAGTTTGACCTTTGCAGCAATCAGTGGAGAAACCTTGAACAGTAATTCTGGTTCATCATCCTAAACAGATTTTCACCATTTACAAAGTTCACCCGCAGAATCTCCCCCAACTTTTGTTGAAGTTACACTGTTTTAATGAAGATTTCGTGGAACTGAAAGCTTCTTCAGCTGACTGCTCTCAGCGTTTCCTGTCTGTCAGACCGAACTGTGGTTACAGCGAGATTACAGCGCAGTGAAATGATACAGAGTGACATTAACCTAATCACTCAGCCGCCGACACAAACAGTGATTACAGGTTTAGTTTTGGTGGGAAGAACAGGTCTGCTGCGGTGGAGTGACGCACACTGACACGCTCAGTGTGACTGTAAGCGTCCACCTGTGCAGCAATAACAGGATTACTTTTGTTTTTTAGCCTCTTTGTTCCTGCTCTCGTAACTCAAACCCAGGTTCAGGTTCTGTGGAGGAAACGGGGCTGTTGTGTGGAGAGGACATAAGAAAGGCTGTGATGTGTCGAAAGCTCCAGAAGAGCTACTAAATGACCCGGCTGCATGAACTTCATCAGAATTCAATGAACAGCTCAGAACATGTACGACTCCACGTGCTGATGAAGATCATGTCACGTGGCTGAAAGCTCTGAAACATGAGCTGCTGTTAGCTCGTTCTCCCAAATGTTTGGAGAAGGTGTGTTGCTGAATGATTAGCATTTGCTAGGTTGCTAATAAGATGGCGGTTGTTAGGGTGTTTGAGTTAGTCGCTGAAGATGATCCTAGATGGTTGCTGTTGCTATAGGAATAGTTGCTATGGTGATTCTGCATGGTTGGGCAGTTGGTAGTTGTTACTTAAGTCTGTTTAAGCATACATCGGTGGTAGCTATGGTGATGTGAGTGGTTAGCAAGCTGTTGCTAGGTGGTTGCGTGGTTGTTGCTATGTTGTTCAGGGTAGTTTCTAGCTTGTTTCTAAGGTGCTCCCGGTTGTTGCTATGCAAAAGGTAGGTGGTTACTAGGGTGTTGTCAGTAGTGTCACAGTAATGTATTTGGAGGTGTCACTAGGGGGTTGTCAGAGTGTTGCTGTTGCTATATGAGATAGTTGCTATGGTGATTCTGCATGGTATACCCTAGTGGTGGAGATAATGGATGGTGGGCAGTTGGAAGTTGCTATTTACATATGCATAGGTGGTAGCTATAGTGATGATGCTAGGTGGTTGCTTGGTGGTTGCTATGGTGTTCAGGGTGGTTGCTATGGTGGTCAGGGTGGTTGCTATGGTGTTCCAGGTGGTTGCTAGGGTGTTTTCTGTAGTGTAGTAAAAACATTGCTGGGTGGTTGTTGGTGATGGTCCTTGATGGTTGATCATGTCTGACTAGGTGTTGTATGTGTGGTGGTTGCTATGGCGATTTGGTTGCTAGGGTATATTGTGTGTATGTTAGCCCAAACATAAACAAACATACTACCACGACATCCAGTGTTCACGTACACTGTACACATGTACACGTTTTGCTTACTCTTGTCCAGAGGGCCGACGGGTTCTGACCTCCCTCTGGTCATCTGTTTGAACTCGTCTCCCTGTCTCCTGTCCGTCTGTCCGTCCTCCTCCTCGCCGCAGGACGTCCTGCGCCCCATCCGTCTCTGCAGCAGCTCCCTCCTCTTCCTGTTGGACAGAGGAAGCAGTTGGACGTGGAGGACCCCACAAGGCTCTGACCGCCGCCGCAGAGTCCGTCTGTCCGCCTCCTTCAGCCTCCTGTCCACCTGTCCTCCTGCTTTGTCCTCCACCATCATCCATGAGGCAGACTTCCTCCTTTCCTTCCCTCTGCTTGTCTCTGTCCTCTTCCCGTCTCTCCTTTCCTCGTCTTCCATGTTGGATTCAGACCTCCTGCGCTCTTTCTTCCTGCTGCTCTCGCTCTTCTTCTCCATCTTTCCAGCACCCTCCGTCTGTCCAAAGGGCTCAGACTTCCTCCTCAGCATAAGTCTGTGTGTCTGTCTGTCACTCCTGTCCATCTGCCTCTCCTCCTCCTCCTCCTCCTCGTCTTCCTCTCCTCCTCCATATGGCTCACTCCTCCTCCTCCCTGTCCATCTCTCCTTCTCCTTCCACTTCCTCAGCATCAGGCCGCTCAGACGCTTCATCGCCATGAATCAGTTCATCCAAAACGCAAAGTGAAACCCAAAAGACTCTGAATGAAGACTTTAATCGGGTCTCGTCAGTCTCTGCTAATGTGTCTATAAAAACAGATTTAAATTCCCCCCTTTCTGATTTATTGGTGCTACTGTTACACTACGTTACCAGTAGAACAACGGCCACAGCTGCTAATTCAGATAAAAGTACGAAATTAAAAGAAAACATCATCAATTTAACTACGTTTGTGGACCAAACTTAATTTAACTAAATGCTGCAATAAAGTTGTGTAATGAAGTAAAAGAAAAACTGTTTGACTGAACTAATGAAACCAAAGAAATCATAAAATCAAAAGAAAGTTAAATGACTAAAGTAAATAAAAAGATCAAATGTAAATTATCCCAAGCCATGCCATCGACCAGTAATCATCAAATTACGATGAACTGTAAGAAGCAGAAACACAGACTATGTTACTGTACTTTAATCCTGTCAGGCCTTTTGTGAAGGCGGACACCCACAGTTACAGACTAATAACACTGCCACCGTGAGAGGAGCCCCGCTCTGATTGGCTGCTGCATAACTTCAATAAGTGACCTCACAGCAAATAAAAAACATCACAAACGAACCGCAGAACCCCGAGCAGACGACCTCAAAGTCAAACATCAGCCGACGGGGGATAACAACCGAGCTTTGTCCTGCAGGACGTCCTCAAACTGCGTCAACCTGTCGCAAGTCCTCAGCGCAGACAGACAGACAGCTGTAGAGTCCTCTGAGTGTTTCACAGTTCACTCTCTGTGTTTATGGGTCTCTGTGTGTGTGTGTGTGTGTTAGCCACACCTCCAATCTACACTGCAAAAAATATAGAAGTTAATGTCGTCCTGTTTTTAAAGACAGTGGTTATTGTAGTTTTTACTTTTATTAGAGGCTGAAACCCTGTTGTTTTTCTTCTTTTCTCATTATTATTGTTGTTGTTGTTGTTGTTGTTGTTGTTGTTGTGAGCTGGAATCATCTAGAAACAGGAAACTTGGTCCCGTAACAGCAGATGATGAACATATGCTTCTCCAGAAACATGAACCCAATCGGCCACATGGTGGCGCTGTAAGTTAGGCACAAACATCCAAATCTCTGGTTTTACACTTGCTGCTGTTATTGAGTTCACTGTTTGGGTTCAGTGTGCAGTTTATCAGCTGTTCTCTGCTGTTATTGATATTATTGGAACATTAAATAAAATACGTCACTTAGTTTACTCAATGATAGAGAAGAGGTCCCTTAAAGAAAAAGGTTGGACACCAGTGATAAATACTGCAGCGACTCTGCTTCCTGTTTCATGTGGACAGACATTAAAAACCTTTGAGCAGTATTTTGTGCAGCGTACCGTCTCTGTGGGTAAGGATGGAAAAAAACAACTGTGTTTCTCTGCTCCATCTGGTTCCTGATGTGCTGCAGTGGGTTTATTAAAGGATCACAGTTACACAGATTACAGATATTAAAGCAGAACACGCACATCCACTGTCACTGACTCCAGTCCTCTGAGTTTACAGGTACGTTGGACCGACGGGCAGAACATGTGACCCCCGCAGCAATGTCTCAGAACCACAACAGGGTCTCTGAGACAAACCGGATCCTGCTGAGGTCAACTGAGGACACCGGACTCCGGACGGTCTGTGTAACTTCAGATGTTTGCAGCTGCACTGTTGCATCATGGGGGATCAGAGTCTGCAACTCGCCAGCTAATGATGTGGTTCTACGGTGGCTCTGCAGCCCGTGAAGAAGAGAATCAGACTAATAATCAATAACTGATGATGGAAGAACGTAAAGCATGCACCGGCTCTCTGAGAAGAGTTGCACGCGCTCAGTACGGTCAATCATTATGTGAAACATCATCTGCACCATTACAGTATTAAACAAATTCAAATGTTGACCTGATGGTGGCGCTATGGATGAGAAGTCAACCAACAAAGGATCAATAAAGTTATTATAAACACTTTTCTTTGGGTTTTGTAGCTGTTTCTGTCTGGAGCGAAACAGCTGAACATCAAACAGTGTGTGTGTGTGTGTGTGTGTGTGTGTGTGTGTCTGTGTATTAGTGTGTGTATGTGTGTGAGGGTGTCCGGCCCGTAAATTGCCTGTCTGTAGATACTTCCTGTGCATACCTCATTCTGAGCAAGACACAGAGAGCGAGAGAGAGTGTAAATGCTTTGAGCTGGAAAAATCCTCAATCATATTTAATGGGATTATTTATCCACATACTGTCATGAGACGATGTGTATGCATGCTGGGCTTTGTGTGGAAATGTGTGTTTTGCTGAGAGATAGGGTATATCATAGCATCTCCTGGCACATAATATTGCAGGCAGATGGGTGCATAGTTGTTTTTTTTTGGTGCAGATAAATTTAATGCATTCCTCCTGTACTGATAGAGAACAGTGTTAGACTGATATAACAGGCTAATATTAAAGCTGTTTATGTGTCATTCAGACATTGGCCAGGTCACACCGTCCACTGCTGATGTGATAGAGGCTCCTCTCTTACTGCAGCTACTGAACATGTTTTTATGAATATTATTTCTTTATCGCATATGGCTAAGCAGAGAAATCATTCCAGCATGGTGTGGGAGGATTTTACTCACAGCTTCAGGGGTGTCAGTCTGTAAAACCTGCAATGAAACCTGCCTCACCCTGCCTTAAGGAGCTGCCAACCCACCTAAAAGCTTTCATCTGCGAGGGTTTCACTGGCTTTTCAGCGTCCCATGGTCTAATTGCCGTTGCAGAAGGCTTTTCCATCCTGCCAAGATGAACATGCTGGGAGAAACAGTGAATCATTCCGAATCTGAGTTTCTCTTTGCCATTAAAATGGTCAACTTTTAATTGAAAGATGTGGAATTTTTCGTTAGCAACCGCTTCAGTCAGGAAATATGAATACTCATCATTAAACCTGCATATTTGTCTAACCCTAATTGGAGGTGAAGCGAGTGGGTGAAGTAGCTGGACTGAAGCTCGCAGCGATGTGAATATTTTGTCAGCACCCAAGGCCGCAGCCCTCAGAGAGCCCCCAGAGAGATAATACAGTTTATTTACCGCTTATGCAGAAAAATCTCTGTGCTGTCTCTGTAGCCCACAGTGTGAGGTCTGACTGTTTTAATTATTAGCTGCTGTGTTTAAAATGAAGCCGCCAGCATTTTCATTATTCGCACCGTATTTATGCAAAACACCTTCACTCTGGGTGTCGTATGTGTGTTTCCGGGCGTGTGTGTGTGTGCGTGTCCACTCATCTCTGCTTCCTCCACCCTTGTTTCTTATTTTCTCATGACTAACTCTGCCTCTTTCTCTCTCATCCCCGCTCCTGTCCTGTCTTTTCACCTCCTTCCCTCCACTCTTTAGTCAGTCACCACCTCCTCCTCCTATTCCTCTACTGCTCTCTTTTCCTCTCTCCAGCAGCGCTCTCTCTCAAAGTCTCGTTTACTCCCTCCTCTGCTGTTCATTCCCTCTTTGGAAACCGGCTTCCTCCAGGGCAAAAACTCTACAGCTCACTTTGTCTCCCTGTCCGCCTCCATCTACACTCCCCTCCTTCCATCTTTCTTCTTTATCCTCTCTCTTTCACTCATTTCACTCTTTTTCACAACACAATAGGTTTCAGGACTCATCTATTGAAAATTCCCATTTGCACTGTTTGCCTCTCAGTGGCTTGCTCTCATCTTATCACTGCTGGAGTTTTGTCCTGGCTACTGTTCAGAGGAAGCAGAGGAGGAGACGTAGAGGGAAAGAAAGAAAACAAAGCGAGGAAGATTGCCACCACACACATACGAACACAGATATGGGTAGCAGGAAAGGTTTTAATGTAAAAAGTTCATCTTTGATTTTTATGCTTTGCCAACAATCCCTCTACTCCATCAGAACTGAACTGAAATAAAAAGAGCCTACATGTCATTATATTATATAACTATATTAACACTGATAGCAATAGAACA